TGGCATTTGCCTCTCTATTGGATAATTTCAGCAACGTGGAGAGGGGGGACCTGCTGCATGGGTAACAGCTTCTCCTCCATATCTACCTACCCAGGCTTTGCGCCCTGGAGAGGACACTCCAGCTTCGCCTCACAGCGTCGAACACATCTATGCAGAAAAACCACATGTGTAAAATAAAGAATGCTAAATGCATTTTAGCAACTTTCCTTCTTCAGAGCATTTTTAAAATGAAGCTAAATATGCTACTTCCTAAAAATGCTCTGAAGGCGACGAGTCGAGCCATAAACACATTTAGCATTCTCTATTTTTCACATGTGGCTTTCCATACACCTGGATCAGTTTGTGTGTGATCGTTGTGGCGTATATATCTATATACATCACTTATGGCAAGAAAAAGTTAGCTTGTAATTATTATTCTCATCTTGTGGCTACGGGGAGAGCCTTTTCTGCTCTCCACCCTCCAATTTGTGTACCTGTTGTTGATTCCAGGAATCTGTTTCCATGGCCATCTCTGACCAAGGCCTTACAAGGAGGCGTGGTCAATCAGGCTGTTATGACACCACTATTTACAGTCCGATGCAAACAGCCCGATTAATCAGGTATCCGTATGCAAACGATGAGTCACGTGGCTTTATTAATGCTGACCAAACCACACACTAGAAGATGAAGAGAAGACGACTAATATTTCAGTCCGCCCTGGACCGTTATAAAGTCGATTGTGATAATGGTCCAGGACGGACAATTGACTTGATTGGTCATTTATCGACTATTTATTTGGTCTAGGGCGGACCGAAACGTCGTCGTCTCCATCTTCTAGCGTGTGGTTTGGTCAACAATAAGGTATCCTTTACATGTGCTTAGTTTCCTTCTGAACACAGTGAAATGTTGGCTGTTATATGCCCTGTACATTTAGAAGGGAGAGAATTTAAGTCTTGGTCACTTAATATTGATATAATTGTCTCTGCAAAACTATTGCACCTCCTTTCAACAGGGATACTTTACACTTCCTTCCTTGTCTCTTAAGGAGCTATTTCCATGTACAGATTTGGAATTATAGTACTGTCTAAGTTTGCTTATTCGAATTACATGGGAAGAACCCTCTGCCAGATAAGCCAGGCAGACAGATAAGCAGAATTCTTACAGGACAAGTAAAATAAAAATCCACTATATTCGCAATTTTGTGTACCACAACAGCCATAATTCTTATTTCTGCACATACTGTAAATCAAAATATAATTTAAAAGAAACTTAAGCTTACTTTGTTGTAGCTCGTCTTCCTGCGTTATACTGTAGATCTTCCCATGTGATATTACTGTCATCACTTCCTGTGTGATATTGTATATCTTGAAATGTGTAGTTCTTGAAAATTTACATAACCTAATCTCCACTTATCCAAATGTCTGTTCAGATATGAAGAAGTTTTGCCAAAAAATTATTTGGATTTGACTTGGATTCTGTGCCAATTTGCATTATTCGGCCAAATCTCTCATCTGGAATTCTGTTTGGATATGGCGAAGTCTGTCTGAAAATTATCCACTTAATTTTGGCCGGATAACGCAAATATTCGGTTCAGTGGGCTTCAGATAACCGAGCTCATACAGTAGTCTCTTAATATCTTCCAAATGTAAATTGTTATGTATACCTCCCAACTGCACTTGAAGACTAGTTTAAGAAATGGATTCAGCTACTAAAATTTATCTGCATGTTCTCCAGCTTTGACTGGGGCTGCTAAAGCAACAATTTTCCACCCAAGAGAGCACTAGCACTATCTTAAAAAGTGCCAAATAATATCTTGAAAGTGATAGCTTGTTTGAAAGGTTTATTTTTTATCAAACCTGTCATTTTTCTTGCAGTTTTGGCAGTTATTTTATTGCGGAAATGCGATCTTCTGACATGATTACAGTACAGTACTTCTAATTTTTTTTTTTGCTTGCTTGCTCTCTTTCTATAGTGCAATTTGACCGTTTTATACTGTTTCAATTTATTTTGTTTTTCCATAGAGTGCCTGGAACTCATCTTCATTGAACATGTTTTCTATGGCCAATTGGAAGACCTAAATTACATAAATTTGAAGGTTTGCATAGTCTCTCAAAAATCTTTGAGACATTGCAAAGGATATGGTACTATAGTTTGTCTCCTGTTCTTATTTAACTTTATAAAAAATAAAATTGTATGAGTATTTCTCTTTAAACATACCAATGAATGAGTAGCCCAACAGGATACTGTAATTCACTTTGGACAAGGAAACAGACACTATTCATGAATGTGAAATGTGTCTTGTGTCTTGTTAAAAAAATGTGTCTTGTTAAAAAAAATGTTCAATTTCATAAATTAATACTGTTAATTTTATGAAAAGAAAATACTCACCTTTTTGAATGTTATAATCTGACAGAGTGCGTCCATCTTCCAGTTGCTTTCCAGCAAAGATGAGTCGCTGTTGGTCAGGAGGGATACCTGAAATGTTTAGCAGGATAACCAACATGAAAAAAAAAAAATGTAAACCAAAATTATCAAACATGTAAAAAGACGTAGCATAACCAGGCTTTTAACAGAGTATCAATCTCCCTACTAAAGGCAGTCTCTTTTACACCCCATTTAACGTGAAATGCAGGAATGAGAACCAAAATCACCCGTTCAAATTGGGATAGATTGAATGATATACACAAGAAATGGTATTTCAATCTATTAAAATCTTTGGATTTAGCCATTTACACCAAAAATTCATTTCTTTCCATTAGTTCCTTGTAGTGTACAGGTACGTACAGACAATACTATATTTATATAGCAACATAGTAGTATAGTAGCAACATTTGCAAATTTGCCGATGATACGAAAATCGGTAGGGAAATTAATTCGGAGGAGGACTCACTATCACTTCCAGTTGATCTAGATAGGGTTTTGAAATGGTCAAAGGATTGGCAGATGCAGTTTAATGCTGATAAATGTAAAGTTCTGAGGTTAGGTAATGATGATAGAGTTACAAGATACGAGCTAGATGGTGTTGAGATTGCAAAGTCGGATTGCGAAAGGGATCTGGGAGTTATGATTAGCAAGAATTTAAAACAAAAGGATCAATGCATGAATGTTCGTAATAAGGCAAATCGGACACTCGGATTTATTAATCGCAGCATTAGTAACAAGACACCTGGTGTGGTTCTCAAGCTATATCTTGCTCTAGTTAGGCCCCATTTAGATTATGCAGTTCAGTTTTGGTCGCCATATTATAGAATGGATATAAATTCACTTGAACGTGTCCAGCGGAGGATGACTAAGTTAATTCCCCAAATTAGAAATCTTTCATATCAAGAAAGACTAACAAAGCTTAACTAAGGCAGTGCCGCCGCCTAAGTAACCTGTGTGTGTGACTTTACCAGTGTACCTGCATGGTACCACAGCCGCCGCCACTCGTCCCGAGCGTGTACCTCTGTACCCCAGTACCTCTGTACTTCTGTGCCTCGAGCGCCCACTGCCGCCCTCACTACTACGTGACGTCACCACCTTGCTCATCGCCAGTGGGTGCGCGTGTGTACTCACTAATTGTGCTTGCGGGGGTTGAGCTTTGGCTCTTTGGTCCCGCCTCTCAACTGTCAATCAACTGGTGTACAGATTCCTGAGCCTACTGGGCTCTATCATATCTACATTTGAAACTGTGTATGGAGTCAGCCTCCACCACATCACTTCCTAGTGCATTCCATTTATTAACTACTCTGACACTGAAAAAATTCTTTCTAACGTCTCTGTGGCTCATCTGGGTACTAAGTTTCCACCTGTGTCCCCTTGTTCGTGTCCCACCCGTGCTGAAGACACGTGTCTGTCTGTTAAGCATACAGCCCGCCCTACTGCAAGTCAGTGGTTGACAAATGGAATGCATTAGGAAGTGATATGGGAGGCTGACTCCATACACAGTTTCAAGTGTGGATATGATAAAGCCCAATAGGCTCAGGAATCTGTACACCTGTTGATTGACGGTTGAGAGGCGGGACCAAAGAGCCAGAGCTCAACCCCCGCAAGCACAACTAGGTGAGTACAGGTCATAAGCGAGTCGACGATGAATGCGTGTTTATCTGTGTGGTATCACTGCATTTCACTAGTCTGTGAATGTGAGCTTCACATACACCACACATTTAGTTATTGTGTGATAATATTATTGTGCATGTTATTGCCTGTCCTATTGACAGTGTATTTGTTGATTTATTGCATACCATCATTACCGAGTATCCGGTTGGAACTCTTGTGATCCCTTTGCATACCGGCAGTTAGGTTGCCGTGTTAATGATTGGCTGTCAACTGTGTTAAGTTAGGTGTTTCTCCACGAGTGGATACGAGTCATTTAGCCAGACGTCAAGTCTTGCTAATACAACCATAGCTTTGCTGATGCCAATCTAAAGTAAATCAAGCACCCTGTACTCACCTAGTTGTGTTTGCAGGGGTTGAGCTCTGGCTCTTTGGTCCCTCCTCTCAACCGTCAATCAACAGGTGTACAGATTCCTGAGCCTACTGGGTATCATATCTACACTTGAAACTGTGTATGGAGTCAGCCTCCACCACATCACTTCCTAATGCATTCCATTTGTCAACCACTCTGACACTAAAAAAGTTTTTTCTAATATCTCTGTGGCTCATTTGGGCACTCGGTTTCCACCTGTGTCCCCTTGTGTTAAATAGACTGTCTTTATCTACCCTATCAATTCCCTTCAGAATCTTGAATGTGGTGATCATGTCCCCCCTAACTCTTCTGTCTTCCAGCGAAGTGAGGTTTAATTCCCGTAGTCTCTCCTCGTAGCTCATACCTCTCAGCTCGGGTACTAGTCTGGTGGCAAACCTTTGAACCTTTTCCAGTTTGGCCTTATCCTTGACTAGATATGGACTCCATGCTGGGGCTGCATACTCCAGGATTGGCCTGACATATGTGGTATACAAAGTTCTGAATGATTCTTCACACAAGTTTCTGAATGCCGTTCGTATGTTGGCCAGCCTGGCATATGCCGCTGATGTTATCCGCTTGATATGTGCTGCAGGAGACAGGTCTGGCGTGATATCAACCCCCAAGTCTTTTTCCTTCTCTGACTCCTGAAGAATTTCCTCTCCCAGATGATACCTTGTATCTGGCCTCCTGCTCCCTACATCTATCTTCATTACATTACATTTGGTTGGGTTAAACTCTAACAACCATTAGTTCGACCATTCCTTCAGCTTGTCTAGGTCTTCTTGAAGCCTCAAACAGTCCTCTTCTGTTTTAATCCTTCTCATAATTTTAGCATCGTCCGCAAACATTGAGAGAAATGAATCGATACCCTCTGGGAGATCATTTACATATATCAGAAACAAGATAGGACCAAGTACAGAGCCCTGTGGGACTCCACTGGTAACTTCACGCCAATCGGAGGTCTCACCCCTCGCCGTAACTCTCTGCTTCCTATTGCTTAGATACTCCCTTATCCACTGGAGCACCTTACCAGCTACACCTGCCTGTCTCTCCAGTTTATGTACCAGCCTCTTATGCGGTACTGTGTCAAAGGCTTTCCGACAATCCAAGAAAATGCAGTCCGCCCAGCCCTCTCTTTCTTGCTTAATCTTTGTCACCTGATCGTAGAATTCTATCAAGCCTGTAAGGCAAGATTTACCCTCCCTGAACCCATGTTGGCGATTTGTCACGAAGTCCCTTCTCTCCAGATGTGTTACCAGGTTTTTTCTCACGATCTTCTCCATCACCTTGCATGGTATACAAGTCAAGGACACTGGCCTGTAGTTCAGTGCCTCTTGCCTGTCGCCCTTTTTGTATATTGGGACCACATTCGCCGTCTTCCATATTTCTGGTAGGTCTCCCATCTTTAGTGACTTACTATACACTATGGAGAGTGGCAAGCAAAGTGCCTCTGCACACTCTTTCAGTATCCATGGTGAGATCCCATCTGGACCAACAGCCTTTCTAACATCCAGATCCAGTAGGTATTAGTGTGTATTAGTGGTTAAGTTAGTAAATAAACTACTGTTAACCTTTATGCGGTGTTTCCGTTGAACCACTTCTGAATACTGCCAATCAAATATTACACAAGCCTTCAGCTCCAAGTGTCTTCAACACCGAGTTGCCTATAAGTCACAAACTATAAATGTGATGAGGACCCTAGGAGTCCCTTAAAGTGTTAAATCATTGAGGAGATTCCAACGATCAACGTGGAGCAGGACCAGGTGAGACTAGTCAGAGAAGAGACCCTCAAGGACTCTTAACTCGACCTTGCTCCCAGGCCCTGTACGGTTGCTCTCGTATTTTTCTATTCTGCTAATTCCGACAGCTTCGTGAAGCGTCTGCCACATGTACATTGGCGACGTACGCATTGCAGTCATGAAAGCAAAAACGAAACACCCCACAACTATCTCCAAACAGTAAACATTATGATGCCAGAACACTTCTTCGTTGACTACTCATAAACATTCATATATGCAGCTTAACTTGCATTCACTGGAAAGGCAAAGAGTTAGGGGTGACATGATAGAGGTTTACAAGTGGATGAATGGACATAACAAAGGGGATATTAATAAGGTATTAAAAGTACCAACACAAGACAACACGAAACAATGGGTATAGATTAGATAACTTTAGATTTAGGAAAGACTTGGGTAAATACTGGTTCGGTAACAGGGTTGTTGATTTGTGGAACCAATTACCGCGTAACGTGGTGGAGGTGGGGTCCCTCGATTGTTTCAAGCGTGGGTTGTACATGTTTGTGTGTGGGATTGGGTGGTTATAAATAGGAGCTGCCTCGTATGGGCCAATAGGCCTTCTGCAGTTACCTTGTTCTTATGTTCTTTTTTTTTAATTTTTATTTAAATACCTGCCATGCAAGCACAGTACCCCAGGGGCCAGATTCACGAAGCAGTTACGCAAGCACTTACGAACCTGTACATCTTTTCTCAATCTTTGGCGGCTTTGTTCACAATTATTAAACAGTTAATGAGCTCTAAAGCACCTGGAGGGTGTTTATAACAATAACAACAGTTGATTGGGAAGTTTTCATGCTTGTAAACTGTTTAATAAATCTAACCAAAGCCATCAAAGATTGAGAAAAGATGTACACGTTCGTAAGTACTTGCGTAACTACTTCGTTAATCTGGCCCCAGGTCTTGTGGCACCTTGTTTTTTACCACGTATACAAATTACATATTTAGAAATTGGATAGAACAGCAATATTTGAAAAGTTAGATCAAATAAATGCGGAAATAAATTAGAGACCAAGATTTAATTTTAAAAGAATATATTGCTAATAAATGTAGGGTTCCGTCTAGGCAATAAACAGTTACATGTACAGTTTTCACAAATTAACAAATGTTCCTTGTCGAAATGCCGGTGTACAATCTGAACTTGCATTTTAAAACTGGTATTTTGCTACTCCTGAACACTAAGGCTATAACAAGCAGACTAACACCTGGGGAACTTATTGACTGCTAGGTGACAGGAGCATTAGGTGATACAACGCGCTGAACCATTTATCCTGCCTGGGATTCGAACCCAAATTCTTGACCGAGTCGAGAACAAACCCGACTGTACTACCTAGACCCTATAGTGAAGATTACACAATACTAACGGTATTAGTCTGCTCGACAATGCTGCCCGTTACCCCTGAAATACTACTGTGGGGTATTCTGACCACGAAACTCTTACGAGTATACTACATGGCGTTTACCATTTACTCCCGATTTATTATGCGCTTACATTACCAACTTTGGAAATAGGGGCAGCGGGAAGCCAACATCAACTCTGACCTATAAGGCATATCTACTGTTATTACAACTGGCAAGTTAACTCCAAAATGCGTTACAATTAACAAACAACATGCAACAACCGACATTCCCTTCCTAACTCGCCTCCCGGTAACTTGAAAAGGCAAAAACCTAAGACATTTTCTTTTGTGGGAGAATGCCGTGGCTTCGGAGCAACAGGCGTAGTCATCTTATATCCGTCATCATCCGAGCTAATAATAACTGTACACGCAGGACATTGTAACCCTCAACACCAAATACTACTGAAGATCAATTTCTGAGTGGCAAATAATAAATATACGAACTGCTGTTGGACAATGGTGATAAACTAGAGAGCGGCCAGCTGGCGGTGCTCACCTCTGCGGCAGGTGGTGGGAGGACGGCCTCTTGCTCACCATAACAAACCTTCAAGGGATACCATTTTTCATTAATTTTAAACGAGAGTAAATAACCAATTTATAATTTAGTATAATGTTATTTTTTATTTTTTATTTAAATACAAACAATTCTCTTTCACAGCTGTCAGTATCAGGTTATATTTAAAAACCTAGAATACAAATGACGCATGGCGGGATTTTTAAACAGTATTGGCGGGCTTTTGATCCAACATATCTTGTTATGGCAAATTAACAATACATACGCCACATATTTTATTTATATGCTGTTAAAAAACTGTTTACTGTGAAACATGTTCAACAAAGTACCAGCCAGAGGTTCTGTAAACATCGCAAGTGTTCTTGTCCAGCGTTTTTTTTTTCTACCACAGACGTGGCCACACATTTACAATGCTAATCAGCATATATACATTTTCTTCTGTCCTCCATGGACAGGGTTAGAGAAGTGTTAAACATATAGTTCAAGGGTTTATTGCACACTCAACCACAGAAGGTTTATAAATGGTTTTAGAAGGTTTATAAATCTTGTTTATCTGTATCTTTTGCTACCCAGTCTCCCAATCTTTATGTACCCATTCTGAACATCTTTACCATTGTGATCATTGCTGTCTTATATGTGCTGTCAATCTGCTGTATGGTGTCTATTAATCTTGTTTAAATTACTAATCAAGCTGTCAATGTAATCAATCAGAGCTTTAATATAACAATGTGCTTTATTATACTTACTTATCTCTCTCATCTCATTTTTCTCTTGTAATGTATCTTTATCATTTATCAATTCTGATTGAAATTACCTACTTAAAATTATCTGCTAGATTAAAGACCTGCCCGAAACGCTGCGCGTACTAGTGACTTTACAAGAATGTAAATACTGTACTATTCAATGTATTCTCACAAACCCAATGTACCTTCTTGTATATATATAAATAAATAAATAAATAAATAAATAAATAAATAAATAAGGCGATTCGGTGCTTTTAAAATGCTAAGCTAACCTACATACGTAAATACATAGATACACAGATTTACGTATGCCCTACATAAAGTGTTTGATGTGTCTTTTACATAGTGTCATTAATGTACATTCACAAAGGTGAAATGTAATTCTGATCAGCTTCCATATATACTTTATACCTGTAGCGAGTAGATTATCTAATATACTATATTATATATTAGATATATAATATCTAATAGAGTAGAGTATCAATAATATACTCGCTCCAAATGCATTGTTAATATTCCTGTCAACCTTTGGAGATGAATGAGGTGAGGCGTTGCCCGGGCAACACGGTGAGGTGTTGCCCGAGCATATAAGCAGCAGAATAGCAAACATTAACTAGTCTACTTTCAAGTGTGGTCTAGAGCAGACATTTGCGAGATACTGTACCGACGCTCAGTGCGCTCAACTCACACCAAAGTATCACCTGTGTACTTCTGTATATTCGACCAAATATATATATAGTATCTTAGTGTCTGTGTTTATTGTCACCATACTTTACGTAACAATAGAACCGTTACATTGGTGACCCAGTGAGTGAAAAAGAACACCTAGTCACAAACTAGATCTTCGTCATGGATTTATCTACCAGGTTTCCAGCATACAACGCAGATGAGCCAGAATTTTGGTTCATGCAGATGGAGGCTATTTTCGACCTTCACGAAATTTCGACTGAGAAAGCCCGATATGCCTGTACCCTGCCAACACTTACCTCGGAGGCTATGCACACTGCCTCCGCTGTCATCACCGCACCATCACCGGACACCAGGACGTACACTGCATTGAAGGCCGCTCTTCTACAGGCAGCAATGAAACGCCGCATTCAACAAAGGGACCAACTCCTCACTGACAAAAGATTAGCAGACAAAACACCAGCTCAGCTTCTGCGGCATATTCAGTATGTGATGCATACTGCAACTGGCCCAGCCCCCAGCGAGATTGTGAGATCACTGTGGATACAACTCTGTCTAAAACACATTCAACCGGCCCTATTCAGTATGGCTGACGACACCCCATTAGCCCAGCTGGCTACACTGGCAGACCGGCTTCATACGACGTCTGATAACGCTACGTTGTCCCATCCCAGTGTAACACAGCAGACTACAGACACCCAACAACTCGACGTCCTCCAGAACCGGCGTTTCTTCCACCCAGGGAGGACGTATCCTCCCTGGGTGGAAGGGAGGATACGTATCACCCAGAACCATGCGAATCCAGTATCAGTCTCTAGGCGACAATGAGAACATCGGGGAGAACTTTGTTCTTACCACCAGAAGTTCGGACACCAAGCCCGCAACTGTAGGGCTCCTTGTTCCTGGTCGGGAAACTACTTCGGCGAGGACTGTTAACGGCCAGTAACCCCGCCATTTCAAACACTACATATCTGACATCATAACCAAACGCCGTTTCCTCGTTGACACAGATGCAGCAGCTAGTGTGTTGCCTCCCCCACTGGTCAAACCAACCCGTACTCCTGGTTTGGACTTACGAGCCGCCAATGGTACGTCCGTCCGTACATATGGGACCCGCGCCCTGGTTCTCGAGTTCGCCTCTCTGGGTCGCTTTACGTGGACTTTCCTCATAGCGGATGTGGAACAACCCATTCTTGGATGGGATTTCCTGCAATACCATCGACTTATTGTGGATCCCGCAGGTGCAGTACTTCGAGCCTCTCCTAGTACCTCTACACAAGTTAACATCGTCACCCCAGTCGCATCTACGGAACTTCAAGCACTCCTGGATGAATTCAAAGATGTGACCCAACCCGCCAGCCCTCGACCAGAGGTGCAACATACGATTACGCATCACATTACTACAACGGGAGCACCTACCTTCGCCAGACCACGCCGCCTGGCACCGGAACGACTGGCGGTAGCACGTGCTGAATTCAATAAGCTACAGGAGGCGGGAATAATCCGCCCTTTGAACAGTCCATGGGCTTCACCTCTCCATATGGTCCCGAAAACAGCCCGTAGGGGAATGGCGCCCCTGCGTAGACTACAGGGCTCTCAACGTTCGTACTCTGCCGGATCGCTACCCAATACCACACATCCAGGATTTCTCACAGGGATTCAGTGGTTCAGGGAATCAGTGGTTCAAAAAGTTGTGCCTAGTCCTCGAGTCACAAAATTCTATCATCTTGAGTCTTCTCAACGAGAATCTAGCGAACCGCGCTAATCTCCAACAACAACAACAAGAAATAACCCTCCTCCGCGAGGATATTAGAAACTACAAGGCTAGCCAAGACCAACTACAGCATGATTTGAATGATCTCCATGAGGAAAACAACCTTCGGAAAACTGATGAAGCCTTAAAAAAGCAGGAGGAAGCTCTCAGCAAAATGACTGCATGTATCAGTACATTTTCAGCTCAACGTTCCGTCTCCCAGGAGGAACAAGACCAGCAAAAGCTGCTAGACTCTGTTATCGTGTCGTCCCAAGATATACCTGTGGAACATGAAGGTGAAAATTGTTTCGAAATAGCTCAGGATCTCTTAAAAAACAAATTGCAGCTCAATCTAAACAAAACTGACGTTATTGCTGCCTACAGAGTAGGCAAAAAGAATCCATCTGGTCTAAATCAACGGAAAATTCGCCTGAAGCTGTCTTCCCAGTTCACGAAATCCAATCTAGTCCGGACAGCTGCATCCCAACGGAAGGGATTATACATCAACGAGTGCTTGACCAGGAACAGACAGCAAATCCTCTACCGCCTGCGTCAAATCCGTCAACAAAACCCAGATGCTATTCATCAGTGCTTCGTTAGAGATGGTCTGATAAAGGTGAGAAAAACCGCAGAGGGCAAAATGTTTACTATTACTAGAGAAGAAAACCTCAACACTTTCCTCTCCCAATGTGGTTTGTCTCACCTTATTATCACTCCCAGTGAATTAACTTAATTAACCCCCTGTCATCTAGTGGGGCTATAGGTATCCTAAGTCTCCTTGGTTCATTTTCTGACTTAATTTTTAACTTACTCTTACCTAGTCATTTACCGAAATTATTTAATTGAGTTATTAAGTAGTTCTTCAGGTCTTTTTAATTATACAGTCATTACTGAACTATCAGATTCAGATTCAGATTCAGATGTTTATTCAGGTAAGGTATATACATACAAGTGATGTTACATTAATGGATTGATATATAGATAGAGCTAGTACATACAATGCCTAAAGCCACTATTACGCAATGCGTTTCGGGCAAGAAAAACATTAATATCTAGAACTTAATACTAATTGAGCATAAAGAATAAAAGATGTTGAGAACAAATACAAATAAAGATAAAAAAAAAGGGGGAACATGACTGAAAAAGCAGCACAAATACAATAGGTTGACAAACAGTGTTGATTACAAAAAAGAAAAAAAAAGAAAATAACAGACATGGGTTGACAATAGAGGAGTGAGGTAGATTACAGGGAATTTATTAGGTAGTGTTTAGTTTTTATCTTAAACTGGTTGAGAGAGGGACAGTCTTTAACATGGTTGGGAAGGTCATTCCACATTCTGGGCCCCTTGATTTGCAGAGCATTTCTAGTTTGATTAAGACGTACTCTAGGAATATCAAAACTGTATTTATTTCTGGTGTGGTGCTCATGGGTTCTGTTACAACCTTCTATGAAGCTTTTAAGATCAGGATTGGCATTATAGTTTAGCGTTTTATATATGTATAATACACATGAGAGAATGTGCAGTGACTTAATATCTAACATATTAAGAGATTTGAGTAGGGGTACCGAGTGATGTCTGGGGCCAGAGTTGGATATTGTTCTAATAGCGGCTTTGTGTTGGGTAATTAGAGGACGTAAGTGATTTTGGGTAGTAGAACCCCAAGCACAAATACCATAGTTGAGATAAGGATAGATAAGGGAGTAATAGAGAGTCACCAGAGCAGGGCGTGGCAATCTATAGTATCTATAGTTATTAATCATTAGCTTAAATTTGCCTATGTTTATTATTCAACTTTTCTTTGATTTCAT